AAAGCCTTGCTTCGCGAGTTATGTGAATTTGGTTCTTATCGAATCAATGGTTCCTTCATAATGAATTTTTGACCTTTGAAACTTTTGTCGCGGGTGTTTAGCTTTTGCGCCTTGCTCTTCTGAAATCGACTTCTGAACAACCAGTTAAGACAGCGGAATAAGGATTTTAGCTCTGAATAAAGAGAGCTTCTCTTTACGTCTGATGCCAATGTCGTTCTATTGGAATACATGGTTCCTTCCTAACGAATTTTTAATTTTTGGAAGCTTTTGGCGCAGGTGTTGAATTTTTGCGCCTTGCACTTCTGAAGTGGATTTCTGAACAACTAGTTGAGATAGCGGAATAAGGGTTTCAGCTCTGAATAACCAAAGCTTCACTTTGCGTCTGATGCCAATTTGGTTCTATTGGAATAAATGGTTCCTTCTTGACGAATTTTTAATCTTTGGAAGCTTTTGGCGCAAGTGTTAAAATTTTGCGCCTTGCTCTTCTGAAGTGAATTTCTGAACAACTAGTTGATATACCGGAATAAGGGTTTCAGCTCTGAATAACCAAAGCTTCACTTTACATGTTGGGAAAATTTGCTTGCATTGGCCCCAATGGTTCCCTCTCAATAAATTTAAATTTCTTTGTTGGTGTAACGTTAAAAGTTGAATTTTAGAAGGTGAAAGATATGTGGGAAATCATCAAGTACATGGTCCAGTGCTCATCAATCCCGCAATCGGAAGATCCGATAAAGACCCGAAACACCAAGCCGGTGATTCTGAGCTTAGTGCGTCAAGGCCAGAAATACCTAGAGGACAGGTGGGGTTGAAAAATGTTTTAAAATCTAGTAAATTATGCTTTGGTTTTAAGGTACAAGACGTTCATGAATAGCATAATTACGGAAAATCTCACGCACGCCGGAAGAGGCGGAATCCCAGGCACGTACCCATTGGTAAAGAGCTTCGTGGGGCTCAGATTGCAGGGGGAATATTTGGGCTTAAAGGACGGGATGATTGATGATCGGCCTCTTTGGCCTATGGTAGGAACATCAGGCTTAGCAAAAACAGGTTTTTGAAATTGTTTCATTGCGTTTAAGGTGTATTACTGCTTGAGATCGGGCGATCTCCCAGCTGCAATCCACTGCCTGAAGAAAAGCGGCCTAACCGAGTACAACGAGATAATTTCCTTACTGGAGGCAAAGCTGGGCAACCCAAATAACCCCAATATTCCCAAGCTGGAGGACAGTATTAGGTAGAAAACCTGCCAAAAGACCCACGAGTTTTTTCGCTGATATCAATGTATGTGTAGGTTTTCCTATAGAAGATTCGTTCGGAACGAAACCGATCCTTTCAAGAGGATCACATGGTCGGTTTTGGGCTGTTGCGATATTTCTGATGAACATTCAGAAGTCGCCCGAACTGCCGACGATTATCTTTGGCTGAAACTCAGCCTGGTGCGAGCAGATAGTTCTAAGGAAGACTCCATCAAGTACAGTGATCTTCAGGTAGGTAGGGTTCACTACAAATTAAAGTAGGTTTTACCCAACTTTTTGCAGCAAGTTATCTTGGAGGAGTATGGAGAGTCGCATTACGATGCCTTCAATCAGCCCCATTTGTACTTTCAAGTGCTGGCGCTCACTGGCCAGTTTGAGGCAGCAATTGAGTTCCTAGCCAGAATCGAGAGGTTCAAGGTGCATGCTGTTCATATGGCGATTGCTCTGAACGAGCTGTATTTACTGGCTGGGCCTCATGACACTAGTGCACCTCTTCGTAAGTTGCCTATCTTCAAACTGAGCTAAATGCATTCAACTTGATTTGCTGGTAGTTTTCATCGACCCCGCGGACCCAAAGCCGGCCAGACGATTAAATCTGGCGCGCTTGATAATGATTTATGTGCGATCTTTCGAGTTTCACTGCCCCAATGAAGCACTCCACTATCTGTATCACCTGAAGAACTATACAGATTCCGAAGGTAAACCTGCGGAAGAGTTCAGAGTAGATTGAGAAGTTTTTGAGTGTTTTAGGTCAAAGTCTTTTTAAGGTTTGCGCTGTGGATTTGGCGCTGGAAACGAAGGAATACGCACAACTACTAGGAACAGTTGATGGGAACGGGATCAGGAACAAAGGCTTGATTGATCAGTTTATTGATACGCATGTCACTGCAGTGAGTGTGGCCGAAACCATTGCGGCTAATCTAGTGAACAAGGGCCTGTACGAAGACGCAATTGCGCTGTTTGATATAGCCAATGTAAGCTCATTAAGCCAAACAACTGGCAGCAGCTGAAAAGTGTCTGTTTTCAGAACCAAGAGGGAATTTTGACGTATTTATGCACCATGTTGTCCCAAGTGGTTCAGCTGGAGGGCGACCCCAACTCTTTGAGAACCAGATTGAAGAACCAGGCCTTTTACTATGCTGAGCGCATTTCCAGAGAAGGCTTCAAGTCGGAGCGCTCGGATTTGAAGTTTTCCTTTTTCACCCTCAACAGACTGATTACGTTCTTCGATCTGTACTATGAAAAAGAGTTCCCACAGGCCTTAAAGGTAAATGGAAATCCCGATGAAACTGTTTTGCAACGGTAGCGAAAATTACAGGTTTTAAATGACATAAAACTGGTGCCGTTCAGAGAGGAAGAGCTCAAAGACCGCGTGTTCGATGTTACCCACAATTTAACTTCGAATGTTGCCAAAGTTATTCCGGATGTGCTCCTGACGACGATGAACATGCTGTTTGCTCAGTATCAAAAAATTAAGTCTAATGTTGAGTTCATTCCGCGGTTCCAAGAAGGGCCTTTGGAAGCAGTAAGTGAAACTATGGAAAAAATGAATATCCCTTAAAACTCGTTTATTCTCCCAGCAAATGTCTTATTTGAGGCAACAGGCCAAGACTATCACGAATTTCGCTGGGATGCTTCCATATAGAATGCCAGGCGACACAAACAGCAGACTGGTGCAGATGGAAATTCTGATGCATTAATTAGATGTTTTTTATTACTGAATAAACGCCGTTTCTTGATTCAGGCTGTATTTTGTTACCAGAATGTCTTTGGAAAAATCCACTCCTTTTCCTTCTTTTACCTAAAAATTAACTTTTAGTTTTTCTGGGAATTTACTGGGTTGTTCGGAAAGTAATTTGATTTTTCCGCGTTAGAGGATTTATTGAATGTTCTTGCATCCAGTTTCACCCTGAAGCCGCATCATTCTTTTGAGAGTTGGTATAGCAAGGCTTATGTATGAAAAACTCCTGATGATTCTACGCATTATCGGTTGGTACTGTTTTACAGATGGGAAGCGAAAAAAACAGCATTTTTGCCATATTTTACATTCTTACTAGGGAGAAGAGAACCGATGTGTATGGAGATGAGCTTTGGCTGCGTGTGATGTGAACATGGTTCTAGTCCAAGAAACGGTTTCTTTATAATGGATTTGTAAACGTTGGAAGGTTTTGATGCGTTTTTTTTCTTTTTGTTCGTCATGTCCTTCTGAAGCCGGTTTATGCGCAACCAGTTGAGATAGCGGAATACGGGCTTCATCTCTGGATAAAGAAGGTATCAGTTAATATGTGATGCAAATTTGGTTTTAGTCAAATCAATGGTTCTTTCATAATGAATTTTTAAACTTTGGACAATTTTGGGGCGGTTGTTTAGTGTTTGCGCCTTGCTTTTCCGAAGCCGATTTCTGAACAATCATTTGAGAATGCGGAATAACGGTTTCAGCTCTGGCTAAAGAAGACTTCACTTGATGTGTGATGCAAATTTGGTTCTAATTGAATCAATGGTTCTGTCGCAATGAATTTTGAAACTTTCGAGTTTTGGCGCAGGTCTTTAATTTTTGCAAATTGCATTTACGAAGCAGATTTGTGAACAACCAGTTGAGATAGCGAATTACGAGTTTCAGCTCTGGATAAAGAAGGTATCAGTTAATATGTGGTACAAATTTGGTTTTAGTCAAATCAATGGTTCCTTCATAATGAATTTTTAAACTTTGGACAATTTTGGCGCGGTTGTTTAGTGTTTGCGCCTTGCTTGTCCGAAGCCGATTTCTAAACAAGCAGTTGAGATCGCGGAATAAGGGTTTCAGTACTGGATAAAAAAGACTTGACTTGATGCGTGGTGCAAATTTGGTTCTYATTGAATCAATGGTTCTGTCGTAACGAATTTTTAAACTTTCGAGTTTTGGCGCGGGTCTTTCATTTTTGCRCCTTGCAYTTACGAAGCAKMTTTGTGAACAACCAGTTGAGATAGCRAATTAMGAGTTTCAGCTCTGGATAAAGAAGATATCAGTTAATATGTGAWGCAAATTTGGTTCTGTTCGAATSAACGGTTCTCTCATAATKAATTTTTAAACTTTGTAAAGTTTYGRCGCGGGTCTTTAAYTTTTGCGCCTYGCACTTCCGAAGCCGATTTGTGAACATCCAGTTGGRATAKCGAATYACGAGTTTCYGCCYKCGATAAAGAAGGCATCAGYTTATATGTGGTTCAAATTTGGTTCGATTCGAATCGACAGTTCCTTCATAATTAATTTTTAAACTTTGGAAAGTTTTGGCGTAGTTGTTTAATTTTTGCGCCTTGCTTTTGATCAGAAAGAGAGAGTTTCACTTTGGTGTGGAGGTAACAAATCACTTAGAGTATTTTTGTCTTGGGAAAGAATGACTATTTAATAGTCTATTTATTTCTTATTTGAAATGTATGTTTTATTTGCACGAAAAACCGAAATTACTTTCAGAACAACCCAATAATTATTTTTGCCAAAGTCGCTTTCTAGAACTGTCTGGAAGACTTCTCCATTGTTTTTTCTAGGCATTGCATGGGCAAAGCAATCGGTGGTAAATTCTATTGCTGAACATTGCTGGTTCTGAGCATTATTTTAAACTACTTACAATTTTGTAGTCCAAAAACATGCGCTTGAAATTGGCAAAGTCCCAAAACGTGGACAACATCTCGTAAATTTCCCCATCCAGCACCTCGGGGTGTTTTCTAAACATCAAAGTCTGCATAAAAATTTCCAGACCTCATCAAATCACTCACTCCAGCTCCATTTCAAAGCCCCGAATATCAAACCCCGGTATACTGCATGTGAGCTGTTCTTCAATGTATTTTTCGACCGTGGCCTGGTAGCTGTTGAAGATTTCTGTGTAGACCAGCCGGTTTTCTTCAACTTCGCTAAATTCTCTATAATGCTGCTCCAAGAAGCCGCTCTGTAGCTGAGCAAACGTTTCGCTGATGATGATGCTTTCAATGCATCCGATGATTTCCGCAAACGATTTTTCGGCGGTTTCCAAACAGTAATGGGAAATATCGAGCTCGTTTTGCTCAATGCCGTTGCCCAGTTGACCTAAAACTCATCTGTTAAAACTGGAATTTTCTTCAGTTGAATGCGCTAACAGTTACAATCCACTTCAGTCATTTTGTCGACAATTCACGCAATAATTTGGGTAAGTGCAAGTCAATACATTAAGTTGCGATGGGAACCGTAAATCTAACACCAGGGCTGCGTTCAGAAGAACGTAACTTTCCAACTCTAACAAGAAACCCTAATAATCGTGTTTTCTGCTTTGGTGAAGATTCTCGCTGATTTGGAATGTTCGCAATGGTTTTCTTCTCTGAAGACTTTCAACGCTGAGGCTAAAGTGGAGCACACCATGGCATGTTAGTTTCGGTAAAAATATTGATTCAAGCGCGTTTAACCCACATTCACGGCAATATCGATTCCAAGATATCGTGAGAAATATCCATTAAAGCGCCAATTTCGTTGTTCAGTGAGTTGAACAATCTGAGGAATCAATGGACTTTGAATCAGTTTTCCTCAGTTGCTCCTTATCCAAACAACCGTACAAGCCAGCTTGCTTTCCAGTTAAATCAATGCGGAACTATTAGACGATTTGGCAAAAAAATGGTGCGAAAACGTTTCAAGTTTAACTGTGGAAGAGTGTTAATTCCCCGACATTGTTCTTCCAAGTTTTGCGCCCCCCGATACGCCACTGGACAACTGGCTAGTTCCACCTTAGGTAAGATGCTCATTTTGTTTTAACTAATTTACTTCCTTTTTGATGGAAAAACTCTTCACTCGCTGGTACATACTGAGGAAAGATTATCCTCAATATCGAATAAGTTTCTTCTTTGTTCCGTTAACTTTTAGGGTACTTTGGAGGGCTTGAAAAAGTGCCAGCCGCATTACAGGGGCGCCAAGACGACTGGCGGCTGACCTACTAAAACCGCCCCAGTCTAAGGAACTGATTTCTCCGGCAAATAATTCTTGTAAAAACTGCAGTTCAGATATAAGAATGCGGGTTTCAGCCTTCGGTAAAGGAAACCTGAGTTAACAAGTTTTAAAAATTTGGTGCCGTTCCAACAAACAGTTCTTTTATAATGTATTTTCAAACTGTCGGAAGTTTTTTGAGGGTTTTTCGTTTATACATGATGCTGTTCTGAAGCAGGTTTTCAAACTGCTGATCGCGATATCGAACTAAAAGTTGCAAATAGCGATAAATAATACTTCAGTTGTTAAGTGATGCAAATTTGGTTCCAGTCCAACCAATGGTTCCTGACTAATACATTTTAAACTTTCAAAAAATTATCGGCGGTTTTTCGGTTATACATGATGCTGCTTTGAAGGAGGTTTTAGAACTGCTGATCGCGATATCGAAATAAAAGTTCCAAATATCAATACATAATACTTCAGTTGTTAAGTGGAACAAATTGCTTTCCATTCCCACAAATAGTTCGTTTGTAATACATTTTCAAACTTTCAAAAAAATTTCCGCGGTTTTTCGTTTATACATTATGCTGCTTTGAAGGAGGTTTTAGAACTGCTGATCGCGATATCGAAACAAAAGTTAGAAATATCAATACATAATACTTCAGTTGTTAAGTGGAACAAATTTCTTTCCATTCCAACAAATGGTTCCTTTCTAATACATTTTCAAACTTTCAAAAAATTTTCGGCGGTTTTTCGTTTATACATGATGCTGCTTGAAGGAGGTTTTAGAACTGCTGATCGCGATATCGAAATAAAAGTTTCAAATATCAATAGATAATACTTGAGTTGTTAAGTGGAACAAATTGCTTTCCATTCCAACAAATGGTTCCTTTCTAATACATTTTCAAACTTTCAAAAAATTTTCGGCGGTTTTTCGTTTATACATGATGGTGCTTTGAAGGCGGTTTTAGAACTGCTGATCGCGATATCGAAATAAAAGTTAGAAATATCAATACATAATACTTCAGTTGTTAAGTAGAACAAATTGCTTTCCATTCCCACAAATGGTTCCTTTCTAATACATTTTCAAACTTTCAAAACAATTTTCGGCGGTTTTTCGTTTATACATGATGCTGTTGTGAAGCAGGTTTTAGAACTGCTGATCGCGACACCCAATAACAAGCCTACAGATGGCAATGCAGAAGACTTGAGGTGATAAGTAGTGCAAATTTGGTTCCATTCCAACAAATGGTTTCTTCATAATATATTTTGA